AAATGAGACAGAAGAGAAACTTCCTATCCTGCTAAAAAGAAAAGCAGAAGAAAAAAAAAGGAATCACTACTACTTAATAGAGAAAGCAAAAAAACCTAAATAATCAGGCCCAGGTTCCTGTCATCTGGGAACACAATCAGTGTCAGAAAAGTTGCCTGGAACACTGGAATAGGCAAAGGCTTACCTGGGTGTTCCTTTAGCACTTTGGATTACTGGACTGTTTTACAATTTGTTGAGGCAGAGGTTAATCTCTAGAATTTTGTCAAGTTGAAATAATTTTGAGTCAGTGGAAAAGACAACCCCAAAGTTAACTTTGATATGTTATTTTTTTTATCTAGGGCAGCAATCTATGAAACTAAGTACTGGCTTCACAAATGCTTTTTGGACTGATTTTTACATCTTACTGCTATCTTTACTAATTAATGAGTTGAAGAAAATCTTTAACACATATTCATTTTATATTTGCATGAGTCATAATTTTACCTTTTGGAAAATTATAGTAATTAAGATGTGTTATATCCATGTACCAACTCCATACAAGGAATGTAAACATTATGTACTGCAAATGTACTAATAAAAAATAATAATAAATTAATGAAAAGAAAACAGCACCAATCTTTAATATTTGTTTTTATAGGTGATCATGGCATATATGAATTTTAAAACCTCTAAAATTTTATTGCTTAACTTTGAAGAGATTTTTCAAATATATAATACTTGTAGAAAGAACTACAAATTCACAAAAACTGTAACTAAGTAAGCTATGTCTAATAAGAGGAGAATGAGCTATATTGTAAATTCTTGTATCATTACTATAAGGTCAAAAGCCCTCTTTATGGCTAAAAGATACAAGGGAGCATTTCCTCTAAGAATAGTGATCGGACTGGAAAAATAAAAAAATTAAGGATAAACTAGGAGAGTTCAAAACACTGTTTCTCCTCTATTCTGTCTGCACATGAGAACTGCTTATAATGTATTCTAAAGTACTGGAGGCTTGGGCCCTAACCCAGACAAATTAAATCTAAATACGTAAGAGTGCAACTTAGACATCAGTATGTTTTAAAAGTTTAATCCTTCATCACAGCCACTTTTCCTGGATATTTTGGGATCTCTTCAGCTTTTTCTCTCCACAAACGGTAACAGAAATAGTGAATATAATTACGGCTCATAAACTTATAAAGATTATTATTACTTCTACATTACCAAAAGGACAGTGAGTGAAAGTACACATAAGAGTAAGTAGGCTGCATATGCATTTCATTTTGGGGTTCAGATTTTGAGAAAAGATAGCACCTACAAAGTTATTTAAAAGGTGCTGCCAAAAGAAAATCAAACTTTAAAGATCTCAAAAATGTAAGTAAATGGGAAAACAGATTTTGCTATATAAACTTAATCTGGCACAGCTATTCATCTACTTGGTATGGGCACCATACTACTTTGGATTGAAAAATGCGGTAACACATCAAGTAAATGTAAACGTTACAACAAAACCAAACCAAAAAAAAATTGAAATTTTTTAGAAAGCTCGTTTTAATACATTATATTTTGAAAGTCAGATTGATAAAGGAAAGTTTGTTTTCTTTTTCTTTTTTTTTGAGACACAGTCTCTCTATACAGCCCAGGCTGGCCTCAAACTTGCATGATTCTCCTGCCTCTGCCTCCCTAGTGCTGGGATTACAAGGGTGTACCACTACTCCTGGCAACAAAGGCAACTTAAGAAAAAAATCTTCCCAACTCGTTGACTACTTTCTTACTTTCCACTGTTTCTAAACCTACTTTTGTCAAACTTTCCAATGGATTTCATGTTAGGTTTGACCACCACCATCCACTCAGTGAAGTTAAAAGCCTAGGAGTTATCCTTAATTCTTCGCTTTCTCTAACCAACCTTATCTAAGGCAAAAGCAGGTCCTGCCAATTTCTCCCACAAAACATATACTGGCACCTTTTATTCCTTTCCATCTTTTCTAACATCACCTTAGGCTAAGATTCATGTATGTGGCTTGGACCACCACTCCCACCTGTTTCCCAGCTTCCATTCCTGACCCCTCTTTAATCTACACTGATACTGAACCAGGATAGTACAAGTAAACCAATTCTATTACATCACCACTTTCTTTAAGAGCCACTAAAGGTTTATGATAACATCAGGAGAAAAAAAAAATGCCTGCAACATCAAGGTACCCTGCTCCTACTACTTCCCCAAATCTTTCTTAGGGATCTCCTCTCCAATACAGCTTGAAGTGCAGTCAAATATTTTAAGTATCTGCACATGTTTGCAGTACATAATATTTATAATCCTTGTGTAGAGTTGGTATCTGTATAAAAAACAAGAAGGATCAAGAGGTATGTGGAAGATGGAGGGAAAGAAATGGGATTAAAATGTGTTACATACAAGTACCAACTTCCCACAAGCAATGTAAATATTATGCATTACACATATGTACTAATAAACTAGAATAAAAAAATATTTTAACAATTTGCTACTTCCATACTTTTCCCTAGCTCTTCACATAGCCACTTCCTCTCATCCATCAGATTCCAATCAGTGATACTTCCTGGCAGAACTCTTCATTATCTAAAGTAGTCCTCCCTTCACAACCTACCACATCACAGTGCTTACTTCTTATATAGCTTATCACATTCTATGAGTGTATGTGTATCTATAGGTGTAGGCGAGGGGTTTTTTCTTCCTACTGCGAGAAGGGATCTTGTTTGTCCTATATGCCAGGGGTCCCCAAACCATGAGCCATGATTACCACCACTCCATGGCCTGTTAGGAACTAGGTGGCACAGCAGGAAGTAAGCCGCAGGCCAGGTAGCTAAGGTCATCTGTATTTATAGCTGCTCCCCATCACTTGCATTAACACCTGAGCTCTGCATCCTGTCAGATTCAGAGGCAGCATTAGATTCTCTTAAGAGCACAAACCCTACTATTAAATGCACAGAGAGGGATTTAGGTTGCATACTTATGAAAATGTAACGCTTGATAAATCTGGGGTGGAGCTAAGATGGTGCTGCTAGTGCTGGGGAGTAACTGCAAAAACAGATTAACATTAGCAGAGATGTCTGACTATAAAAACCACAATAAATCAATTGCTTGCAGACTTATATCAAAACCCTACCAGTGAATGGCATGTATCAATTAAACGACAAATGGTGGCAGGCTTTACAGTGACAAGTAAACTGATGTACTTCAATTATACAGCAGCAACTGGTGGCAGGCTTTAAATCAGAATTCAGCATTCACTGTGGTTCACGCTTGGCCCACTCATTTTATTTACAACTTCCATTGGTGCCATCTTCCCACTGGGCACTTGGCTTGGTCACATTATGAGTAAGTTAACCTTAGCCAAAATGAGTAAAAACAAAACTTCAAAAACAGTTCCCTTTTTTGCTCCCAAAGAGATTGAGGACAGCTGCTACCATTTCCTAGGGCCTAAAACAATAAGGGCATATGCTAGGCCCTTAACAAGTTATTTTGCTTAACTAACAAGTACTAAAAAGGTGGCATGGCCTACACTACTAAACTGAAAATGAAATCACTGGATTCTAGCCATATGTGGCCTTGGGCACACTACAGAAAGAGTAGAGTTAAAGAGTAACTAGAAGAAAGTGCCACCTTAAGTATGAAGGTTTTTTCTCTTCTAAATTTTCTTACCTATCTACATTCAACACAGACATATAGAAGTCTTCTTGAGTCGGTCTTCTCATCCATATGAGATTAACAATCACTTCCAATTCAGAAATATAAGAACTATACAGAACTCAACCCGAACTTTCCCTAGCCACCCCCTATTTATAACCCTTCTTCCTCCATGAATCAAATAACCTGAAACCAAATATGACATAGTACATCTTATTAGCAAGACCTTTGCTCACGTCTTTTTCCCAGTTCAAACCACTGGCACTGATACCCTTCAAAGCCAGATTATTTGTTGCCTGCATCAATAAGCTAGCCCAAAACTGAGAGCATCATTATGTATTCCTGAATTCCTTCATGCTTCAAATTACAATACTCGCTGATTGTAGTACTATCTGCTTAGATTAAGTAAATTTAACCTCTCAGAGGCTCAATTTTGCAATCTGCAAAACCTAGATAAAAGAATCTATCATAACACATACTACGGATAATTCCAAATACTTAGTTTGATAATAAACTGTTCATTAAATGTATTATTTGTGTGTTACATGTATTTTTCAACCTCCTGAGGGCCCAAAAAGCAATTTTTTCACTTCAAAAGCTTAAAATCATCCCAGTGTCTTTGAGCTTTTCATTCTGTAAAATGAAAGGAATGGACTAACCACCCCATTCCTTCTTTCATATTTATGTGCCTTCCAAAACTGAAGTTCTATACCTATATCCTTACAGTCAAAAAAAAGGATGAGTTTGTGCAAGAATTCACAAGGAATTGATGTCTACTGCAAACTGATTTCTACTGCAAATCTCTAACGCAAGTGTGCAGAAGCATTTAAAATAACTTTCACGACACAGGAGATCCTTTCCAAAACAGCTGACTCTTGCCACAGTGATGCATCCTTGGAATTGTTAAACTGGGCTACAAAGAGGGACGTAAGGTCCATGGACTACCGAAAAAACAAAAAGGTAATACTGTGCCCCAGCAGGACAGTAGGAACTCTCCTGGAGCAAGAGTCTCTGTAACATGGTTTAAAGGCGTCAGGGACCCGAAGGGCAGAAAGGATGGCAATGAAGACCCTCGTCGCTCAATGGAGGAAGACCTCTGTAAGCCACAAACGGAGGAGTCTAGACCACAAACCCGACGCCCTTCTCCTGGCACTAACCCCAGCTTGCAAGATGATCCACACTAAGGAAGGAGCCAAGGTCGGCGGGAAACGCTAAAGGAGCCAGCCCCAGGCGAGGGGATGTCGGCGGAAGCCCTGCGGCCTCACAGCTCTGCACCCTTCTCAGCGACAAGCAGTCTGAGGCCCGTGGCGCAAGATCCAGGCCCGGCCCTCGCAAACCGCGCTGCCCGCTCCCGTACCTGCGGGGTCGAGCGCCATCGCAGCGGGCGGAGAAGGCAGCCGCGGGCAGCTCCGGGGCGGGGGCGGGGAGGGGAGGAGCCTGGCCAGCGCGGGCACCCGCCTCTTCCCGCGGGAGGAGGACAAGCGCGACGCACTTAGCGAAGCGGGGCAAACCCCTTCCCTCCTTCCTTCCCCAGTTCCTACTTCCGCTTCCCGTTGCGCCTGCGCTCTTCTGGCCCCGCCCGAATCCTGTAACTGGAAAGGGACGACTTCACCAGGGACTGATCCAGGGAAGGGGCGTGGCTGCGCACGCGCTCTGGGGAGGGGCGGAAGCCGGAGCGCGCTACCTGGCCTGCGGTGCGGTGGGTGCGAGCTAGGGCTGCAACCCTTGGGCTGCTGCGCCCAAGGTGGAGTCTCTCTCTCTCTCTCTCTCCCATACCCACCTCCAGAGAAGCGAATGAAGCGTCCCGCTGCTTTATTTTAACTTCGTCATTCAAGTTTAAGTGACTATTTTATGACTGCTAGGTTCCAGCTGCTTTTCTGAATACCAGGAAAAAATTAGGAAATAAAATTAACACCGTTATTCTCTCGAGGCGCAGGCTGTTAAATTCCACGGGTGCAACAGGTGCAGAGCTCATTCTACGGTAAAGGTGGTGCGGTGTCTGCAGTATCATTATTACTCCTTTAAGTATATCTCGCCTGGACGTTAAAATAAAATGTGAGTGGTTGGGGGAACCCAGGACGTACAGTCCAATTTGGGCGATGTTATTAATCCTGATTCCGTCCTTTAACTCTGTGTGTCGTGAGAAAAAGAAAGGAATAGCTGTTCTCGAGCCCGCACCTTCCCTTTTCTCACAGTACAAACTTTCTGCGTGGCATTTATGTCCATTTCGAAGCACCAACCAGCTTTCAGAAGTGATTCCTCCTCAGACACACACTTAACTATCTTGAGGCTCCAACGGGTGAGCTACAGCCAGAGACAGATGGACAGATGGGACAGATGTTTAGAAAAACAAGGAGCAGCTGCTTCTTCCCTGCAAGAGATTTAGGGCTTTCAAAATGATCCCCTCCCCACCTACCTGCGGTTTCTCCTCTCCTGCTGCTGCTTCCGCCTGGTCAGTTGGCAGAAAAGACAACACAGTTGAGCAGGGCTGGGAAAGTGGGTCTCTGCTCAGCAGGTCTTCCGTTTAAAGGCCTATTTGAGCATAAAGGCCCTTATTACAGCTGTAGGCTGAGGTGCCAAGGTGAGGAATTAATGTTTCACTCACCCCGGCAGGAAATTGGGTCCTTTTCCGTCTATGTTTAATAAATGCTTAGACACACAAAAAATTCACTCCAGTGCACCTTTTGTTTTTCTGGAGGTAAAGGATTTAATTTAGAAATCAAAAGCAAATATTTTAGAGGAGATAAGATGGGGTATTAAAATATAGACCATACGCCCACGTTTGAGTAAGTTGTGTGAAAGGGCATCATGAGAAAGGGAGTTAGTTTGAAGAGCTTCAGTCACGGAGAGAGACATGGGTGCCTTCACTCAAACCCTTTAACTCTATTAGCTATGTGAATTGACTAAGTCCCAATGTTTTCCTGGACTTTAGTTTCTAATTCACAAGGTCATTGTTAATAATAAATATGATATAAACACATTCAAAAGACATGAAAGACCACTTCTATAGTTTTTCCATAACTATCATTTGAAACATTATTATTTAATATTTTTATTTAAATCAATTCATTTTTCAAAACACCTACATTTGCACTGTCTGGTCTGATCCCGAGCAATAATATCTGCAAAATCATGGACTTAATGTGCCTCATAAAACTGATTGCTATCCATACCATACTGTGGTGGATTGACAACTGCTGGTCAACTTGTGACACCCAGCTGAACTGAACCAGCGTGGTGCTGGGTGTGGGAGACTTACCTGAGGACTGGTGCCAACAACATAAGAAAGAGAACTGGTGAGGAGGAATTGGGGCTGTTGGTTCTCCTGGGACTGTTGGTTCTTCTGGAGGAGCTTGTCATGCTGGCTTTCCTGATGTGAACTTTGCTGTTCTCATCATCAAGGAGCTCAAGACCTTGTTGTTTCTGGGAATGTCTATGGTTCACTTTGAGAGAGCTCAGGTCCTTACTTTGAGCATTGCTTCCTGGCTGCAGAGGGGAAGATGGTGCACTGTTCAGACTCCCAGAGAAGCTTGTTGTATTGGCTTTCCTGATATGAACTCAGCTGTTCTCATTGTTGGAGGAGCTTGGGACCTCATCACTGAGGATGGCTGTGGTACTTTTCAAGGGAGCTCTGGTCCTCACTTTGTAGCTTCCTAACTCCGGTGCAGATCCCTTGGCCTGCTAGCACAGACCCACCATCCCACTGGCACAGACTTTCTAGCTTTCACCACTGACCTTTGGTCCTGCCCAGCACAGATCCATGAAACAGGTCTGCATGAAAAGTTGTGGGCTCTAAACCTTCAACTGGACTCATGGAGCTATTGTGATATGCTCTAGATCTTCAGCTGGACTCATACAGGACATTGCATTGGGATCCAGGCCCTCAGCTGGATTCTTTGGGTCTTTAGTGTCCTGGACTTCTTTTTACTTGACTTTTTGGGTGACTACTATAAAATAATCCTATAAATTATGTGTCTTGTATTAAATTGTTTTCCATGTAAACCCTGACTATAACACACACCATGAGAAGCCATATCAAAAATAATAACACCTCAATACCTATTATATAAAGGCTTCTCCTCATGATAAACTAGTGACTTTGGGAAAAACTTTGCAATCTAACAAAGGAAGGCAAACCATTTTTTAAAGGTTAAATCAGAGGAATTTAATTGGCAATTCAAAACAGAAGAAATTTCCTATGGCCTCAGATTATTGAAGGACAGTTCTGTGGACAGTAACTATAGTAGGAACTTGTAAAGAGAGGCAAATATATGACAATGGATATTAGGAACTATATATTATCCAACCATGACTCCTAAGGCTCAATGTCTTGGCACATAATGGACTCAGAGTTGCCTTTCTGGAAGAATTGAATGATAGGGTAGTTAGGAAAGATTTGAAAGATAGGTTAAAATTATACTTACCCTTGATGTACAGCACAGTAAAAAGCATCCATGCTGGGAGGAAAAATCATAGCATAAGCATCTAGGATTTGAGCTGTTCTTGAAGAATTGGTGGAGCATGGAAACAGTGAAGGTTAAGAAATGGGACCATATGAGCAAAAATCTCAGGAGTGGGGAGCACAGGACTGGGAGCAGGCCTGCAGAAGACAATGCTTGAAACCATTCCAGTTCATCTGAGGCTTTGAAAAGGTAGGGTAGTTAGAAGTACAGTTTTGCAAGAAGAGTCCCAATTCTCATGTCCTTGAACATTATATTCAGGAGTGCTTGAAGTCATTTGCTATAAGAAGTCTAGACTTACTAAAGGTTAACAAACAGAAAAATAGCTTGTGGTCAACATTTCAAAAAGGTGCTTTATAAAATTTTTGTGCTGAATAGACTTAAGCAGCAAGGAAAAAGCTAGAAGAGAAGGAGAAAAGTAGAAAGGTATTTGTAGTAGTTCAGACAGGATCAGAAAAGAGCCTGTACTGAGTAGGATATATAAAATTGGAAAAGGAAAAAATGGATATGAGAATAATTGCAAATATATATACATATATTTTATAATTGAGCTTAGGATACAGAGATACTGCCTTAAGACAATTTCTAGATTATTTCTGAATTTGACAAATAAGAAAAACATGATACTATGCCTATTAATGCCTAAATTAATTTTTCCTTGATTTTCATTACTAGAGGCAATACTTGGACAAAGACCAGGTAGGAATGAATTGTGGTAATCCATGGGAAAAATGATACTGACTGAACCAAGAGCCTTTGAAGGCAAAAAAAAAAAAAAATACAATACTTATTATGTAGACTGGACATTAAAAATAAACACATATACTCATTGATATGTTTGTGTCCTTCTTAATCTAATATCCAAGGAATGTGCAAATAGCATGAGATATGTGGTTTATCGAGTCAATTCTGACTATATTTAGCATTCCATATTTTTATATGTTCATATGCCATTATTTATTTAAATGGTTAGTCAGTCCTGCTTCTGACTCTGCCTAGCAAAAGAATGAAAGGCTCCAACTTGTAGCTCTGCTCAACCCTGTGTTTGAATCAATAACAATTAACTTTGGAAAAAAAAAACACTGCAAGTTCCATCCCCATGAGTAGACAGAGTCTGAAACTAGTTTTTCACTAGATCAATAGGCGAGTGTTCCTAGTGGTCCAGCTTATTTTATGAACCTCATGATATAACACCCAGTCCCCACAGCCTGGGCTCCCTCTGAAATGAACTTAGAACAAGGTTAACCCTTGTTTTAATGACATTTATAATGTTTTCTAGGTCTACTTTTAAAAATATTCTATATGTCTAGGTAGTTTAAACAACAGAAATTTATTTTCCCACAATTGAAGCCTGAGATGTAGTTATTGTTGGGGTTGGTTTCTTCTAACATCTTTCTTCTTACCTTATAAAAGCCACATTCTCTTTCTGTCTTCACATGACCTTCTTTCTGTTTCTATGTGTCTTAATCTTGTCTTATAAGTATACCAGCTTATATCACCCCCTAATCACCACATTTTATTTAAAACTATCTCTTTAGGACCGGGGATATAGCTCAGTGGCATAAGTGCCTGCCTGGCAAGCACAAGGCCCTGAGTTTGATTGCTGATACCAAAAAATAAAAAAAATAAAAATAAAACTATCTCTTTAAAGAACTTATCTTTAAAGGTAGACACATTTTGAGGTACTAGGAGTTACAACTTCAAATATAAACTTTGGAGGGCATAATTCAACTGAGTTATTTATAAGGATTAAAATGCTTCTCCCAATACCAATCACTTAGTTAGGACCCTAACAACCTACCTAGCTCCCTAGAACAAAAAATTTGGTTCTGTTTTCTGGTGGCTAAACAAAGCTTGCTTTAGTCTAGATTGGTCTATAGATCTACTGCAGTCAACTCTTATCTGCCTGTCACTCTCTATATCTGATTGACCAAACATCCACTTTCTTCTCCTTCATTAATATACCTTTATCATCTGCCAGACTCACTACCATATCTCTTAGTCCCTGTCCTATTCACTTTTGCAAAGATTATTATAATAACCTTTTAACTGGATCTATTTCCTTGCAGTTCCTCCTTCTACTGATTTTCCTTAACCCATTACATCTATAACAGTGAATATGATCATAAAATTTCTTATGTAAAAGTTCTTAGTAAGATACAACCAATGAAATGGGAACTATATTTGCCAAACATATGTTTGATTACAGAATAATATCCAAAATAAATAAGGAACTCAATTCCTTGCTAAAAAAAGACCCTAATTTAAAAAATAAAAGGACCTAGGATGCAACAAAGTGGTAGAGCATTTCCCTAGCATTTGCAAGGCCCGAAGTTCAAGCTTCAGC